AGAAGAAGAAGAAGAAGAAGAAGAAGAAGAAGAAGAAGAACAACAACAACAACAACAACAACAACAACAAGAAGTACGTTTCACAAGAACTCTTTTTTTAAAAAGACGTACATTGTAAGGTGGCTGCAGTATAACAATTATACATGTTCCATGCCGTTGTGAATTCAATTCGAATGGTTTAGAAGGCGGGCTGCTTCTGCCCTGGCTGTCAGAGTGGCTGTAACATTCTTAGCGAGGAACTAGCCAACTATAGTGCGGTCAAAAATTCGTGGCGCGACTTATCCTCAAATGTCTTTATAACGGGTGAATCAATGTCACCCATACTTTGAAAACCAGTTTGTCTCAATTTGTCTTAACGTAACCATATTTTTCCACAACAATTGAGGGTAGATTTACAAAACTTTTCTTCACAAATGTATATAAAATACTACCAACATCCTTCACGCGGAAAATAGAATTGTTCACAGCACTTTCCGATTCTCACACACATTTTGTATACGTATATGGGTTACGTCACATTTCACCAAGGGCATTTTTAGAGGCAAAATTAGTTACAAGAAATTAATTTTATAGTGAACACTTTTTTGCACTAAAACTTTTCAAAACATGCGTTCGATAAAGATAATCTCACGATTAGAACAAAAATGACGGACTTGCTTTTAAAAGAAATATCGTTCCAGCTGTAAACCTTTTAAAATCAGATGAAACCACCCACTAGGATTTTTTATTAGTATTTATTCAGGAATTTTCTGGAATAGAGATTACACGTCTTTACAAAAACATTGACCTGTTAAGACAAATTGATTCAAGTCCCTGTGCAAAAGCTGGAGAGTTTATGTTTGATAGTTGAAGAGATATTTGTGAAGCGTGCTGACAAAATGAGTTACTTCTTGCAATCCAAGAATGAAGATATTAGCCCAAAATCGACACTTGGGTCTAAGTAATAGATTTTCAATTGACGCCATTTTGTTCAAGTCTACAGTGTCTTTTATTATTCCATACTTACAATTGTACAAACTCCACCTATAAAGCTGATGCATTAATTTCCATGAGGCTAAAATGTGAGAACTAACTCATTTTGTCAGCACGCCTCACATTTGACAATAAGTTGCGCCACGAATTTTGCACCTCACTATAGTATTGGTAAGTAACATAAGAAGAGACTCACGTAGGGCGAGATCTGTACAGGGAGGTTCCCACACATCTGCTTCATTTTCGCAATGGCAGTAGCCTGTTGGAAAAGAATGATGATGATGATGATGATGATGATGATGATGATGATTATGATGATGATGATGATGATGATGATGATGATGATGATGATGATGATGATGATGATGATGATGATGATGATGATGATGATGAGGAACAGC